TCAGCAGGTGGCGCCGCCAGCCTCTGGAGGGGGCAGGAGCAGCCACGGAAAGGGGACGGGAAGGGAGAGGGGTCTGGAAGGCAGACACCTCCCAGGAGCCCCAGCACCCACCCATGAGCCTCACATCTGCCCCCTGGAGGTGGGCAGGGCCACTTCCACCTCATGAACAGCTCAGAGAGGGAGAGTCCCCTGCCCAAGGTCACAGAGTGAGGGTGCAGCTTGGCTGGGACTGGCCCCCAGTCAAGGCCCTTGGGCTGCAGTCTAGCTGGTCCTAAGGCTGGCCCTGGTGCCCGCCAGCTTCTATTAAGCAAACAACTTCCAACAGAAAGCTGAACCCAGCTGAGCCCTTTTCTCTTGCAGGACCATAAACCTGATTTAAAAACCAAGTTATCACCAGGATCTTTATGAGGCCTGTCTCTGGGCCCCACCCCAGGAGGCCCTGGTTGGGTGTGTGAGAGCAGCCCGGAGGGAGGACTTCCAGAGGGAAGAGAGGCCACCAGAGGAGCCAGAGGGAAGGAGGGGTCCAATAAACAGCCGCTCCCAGAGATAAGGGGCTGTCAGAGAGGAAGAGGCTGCGACTTGGTGGCTGGGGGCTTCTGCATCCACCATTGTGCACAAGGTCACAGCACCGTGCTGGACCATGTCTGAGGCAACCAGTGGGCACATGGAGACACTGAGGCCCAGGGAGGCGAGGGCTCAGGGCCACATGGTGAGTCAGAGGCCAAGGTGGCACAGGACGTACCACTTCAGACACTCAGCCTGGGACTTTTAAACAAGGTTACGGTGTCCTTGGGAGGGGGAAGCTAGGAGTGTCACATCAGGGCTGGCTCAGGCCTCTCATTGAGGGGTCCACCTAGGGGTGCAGGCGAGGGGAGAGCCAGGCTCTTTTGCATGAAGAAGCCAGAGGAGGAAGAGGAACCAGGTATTTGTTTAAGCAAAACCCCAGGGTCGGGGGAGAGGCACACACAGGTCGCTAGTCTCCCCGGCTAGCTCAGCTGGAGAGGAAAGAAAAACTTCCAGAGAGGCTACTGCCTTGCTGTGTGGCCTCAGACAGGTGACTTCACTTCTCTGAGCTCTAGTTGCTTCATCTGCAAAAGGAGGATAACCATCGACCCTACCTCCCGGAGGATGAACTGGAACAATACATGCAAATGACTTGGCCTGACGCCTGGCACTTAGTAAACGCTCAGTCAAGAGTGGTGCTATTGTTGTTATCACCCCAGCACCAGGTGAAGGGCCAAACCCTGCAATCTCAGAGAGATGCAGTGAAAGGGCCCTGAGCTGGGAGTCAGACGACCTGGGACCTGGGTCCATTTCTGTACAGCACTGACCTGCTGTGGGAAGTTGTGGCCAAAATCTCTTCTTTCTTTAGGCTTCTGGGCCTCAGTTGCCCTATCTGTGAAATGAGTGGGCTGGCTCTCTAAGGGTCTTCCAAGGTCAGGATGCTATGAAATTCAGGATGCCCCTGCTCTCCTGCCCCAGATAGACCAGGGGTGACGTTTGGAGGATGAACAGGCTGGGCTGAGGACCCCCTCGGCCACTCAGGCTGGGCAGCAAGAAAGGCCAGGAGACCCAGTTTCTGGGCCCAGCCCTGTGCCTGTGTGACCTTGGCCAGACACCTGGACCTCCCTGTGTTTCCTTCTTCCATCTAGTAAATGGGGCCAATTTGCCCCACCCTGCCCGACACCCAGGGCTCAGGAAAGAGCCGGCCCACCCCAGGATGTGTCTGTGGAGTAGGAGGCATGTCCAGCCTCCACTCTGGGAGAGGACAGCACTGAGGGGCCCACAGAGCAGCTGGGATGGCTCCACTAGGCCTCGGGGCTCTCTGGAGCTGCTCTCTCCATGATCAGGGAAATATGCTTTGTCTGGAAAGTCCCCCATCTCTCAGCCACCACCCAAGTCCTGGACACTGTCTTCATCACTTCTGGACCCCTGCCTAGCTTCCTTGCTGCTCTGACTCCTGTCTCTCCTCTGGCTCATTCTCTATACAGCCCGTCTTCCTGCCCTCCGCCCCCCCCACCCCCTCAAAACCCTGGGTGACAACTTTCCACACCCCTCATCAGGCCTGTCCCACCCAGCCTTACTCTGCCCCTCCCCAAACTCATCTCCTGGCCCCATCACTGAGCTCCAAACTGGTCTTTGAATTCTAGGGGACCACGTGTCCCCTTGGGCCTCAACACCTTTATTCACACTGTCCCTCTGCCCACAATGCCCTTCCCTGCTCCACTCCCTGGGGCCTTAACTCAAGTGTCAGTTCCTCTTGCAAGACTTCCACGTCTTCCCCCTTTGGGTTAAATACCCTGATTCCTGGCCTTCACCAAGATGTAATTTTACCCTTATTTGTGATTATTTGATTCAAACCTGCTTCTCCTTCCAGTCAGCCTGTAAGCACCCCAAGAGCAGGGCCTCACCCAGTGCCTAACACGGTGTCTGCACAAAGGAGGAGTGTTAATGCCTATTTGTCAAATGAATGCACACATGAACGAATGAATTCTTATACCTATTCCTGACTTTTAAGCCTTCCATCTAGGTCTGAGTTAGCATATTCTGGGAATTAGAAGGCACCAACCTTCCCACCCACCCCAACCCCACCCAGGATAGGCATGCTTTCTGCAGCATCCCTGACCAGGACCTCCAGCAGTCACTTGCATTCCTCCTGTGATGGTGAGCTCACTCTCTATTTTGTGACAGCCCATTTTACGATGGATGGTCCTTTAGAGAGCACTTTATTGTGGGTGGGTTGAAATCCATGTCTGTGCCTGCAGCTTTCTCTCTCAGGTCCCAGGTCTGCCCTGTCTGCCTACCCAAACTCAGATCTTCAAGCCCCACTCCGGCTCTTCTCTTCCTCCAATCTGAGTAGTCGCAGTTATGTCAGCTCAGAGAGTAGAGCCCAGTCCTCTTGGGCCTCTCCTCCCTTCTCCATACTTTCCAGTTTCTTACTGACCCCTTGAAAACTGGGGTCCTGAGCGGAGCCCAGCACTTCAGATGACTTCTGAGCAAAGTTTCACTAACACGTCCAGTTCCTGACCTGGGAAAGGGGGCCTACCCTGCTCAGGCATCCCTATGCTCATCCATGTTGGCAACAACCCAGGCAGCCCCTCTTCTCCTCTCCCACAAGCAGCCTTCATTTTGCTGCATAAACTTAGGCACGGCCCCTTGTCTTTCTGGGCCCTAACGCTTCCACGTGTACAATAGGAAGAGTCCTCTGAGCAGGAAGAGGAGCCCTGGGCTGACTGTCCCTCACTCTGTTATAATAGCCTTCAGAACTCCAGAAGAGTAAGATTCTGACCAGGGCCAGCTTCACGGGCAGGTCACCTGTGCAGTCACACAGAGCCCACTGTTTAGACGGGCCCCATGCTTGGTTGAATGCTTGCTGTCACCATCCTGAAATCCTTAATGATTTTGAACAGGGGATCTCACGCTGTCATTTTGCACTGGGCCCTGAAAATTCTGTCCTGATCCTAGACGGATATGTCTAGATGATGCTGTTCGGCCCTGGCTAATGTGGTGACCCAAGGGAGGGACAGGTTGAATAGATAAGACCTTGATTCTGCTCACCTTCTGGGGGCCACATGTCCTTGCACACTTAGGGGGCCCCTAGGAAATGTCGGAGGATCAAACCCCATCAGGGCTTTCTGCATAGCTCCTTGGTGCTGAACCCCCCTGTTGAAAGGAAACCCATCTTCCCTGGGCTTCCCAACCCAGAGCCCCATCCTTCGCCAAATGCTTCAACTCACCCCCGCTCCCAGTTTACTGATGGCTCCTCAAATGCCACCCTCCTTGGGTAGCTGTGAAATGTCTGCCAGTCTTTAACTGAGGTGGGGGGAAGGAACGCCTGATGCATTTAAAATGCCAAGGGGGCCTCAGCTATAATAAATAGATCAGGGCTCTTGGATCCTGATGCACACAAACCAACTGATAAAAAGACACTTTAGAATCAACTGGAGTATTTTGCATATGAACTAGGTGTTAGATAATACCCAGAAATCTGTGTTGATTGTGTTAGACGTGATAGTGGCATATTATGTAAGAAAACGTTCACATGTTTTAGAGCTGCATGGTGAAGTATGTAGGGGTAAAATGACATGATGTTTGAAATTTGTTTTAAAATACTTTAGCACAAAAAGGAAGGGAGGAAATGAAATAAGTATGACAAAATCTTGATAATGATTGATGCTGGGTGATGGGTATATAGTCGTTTACTCTACAATTCTACTTTTGTGTATGTTTGAAACTTCTCGTTAAAATCAAGGGGGGGGTAGGAGGACGTCAGGAGAATGTGAAAAGTTCCCTAGAACGTTCCCGAAGATGTCCCTACTTCACCTCTTTAAGTACTTTCTCTCACAGCGGACTCAGGCTAACTCCCCAATTGTATGCAGACTCGTGTATGTGCATATGTGCATTTTCCCCGGGGAAAAACATCCACAGCTTTCATCGGAGACTTAGAGGGTCGTGACCCCTCCCACCAAAAGATGAAGGACCCGCTACCTTACGCATGGAACCCTGTTTGAAGTCCGGTTGCCCCCTCACCAGAAGCTGGTCACTGCGGAGTGTCCCACAGGCCGGTGTGGCTGTCCTGGGGTCCGCCCGCTGCCCCTCGGATCCTTTTTCTCCACCTGGGGTCGCGGGGCTGTCCACGCGGCCGCGGGGAGGACGAGGCGTGCGGGCCGCTAGGCCGCAGGTCTCGCCGGGGACTCGCGCACCTGGCGATGCCCCGACGCTCGCCCAGCCGCGCCCTCGGCACCCACCCCGCCGGTCCCGGCCCGTCCGCCTCCCGCTTGGGGCGGCAATTTGTCTCCTTTTGAACCCCCCGCCCCCGACGGGTTTCCCCCTTTGATTCGCGGCCCGGAGTCTCCCCCCGCTTTGAAATGCAAACCCGCCTCGGCGGGGGCCGCGGGCGGCCGGAGCTATAAAACGCCTGGGTGGGGCGGCCGGCGGCCGGGCCTGCGAGTTCAGGTGAGCTGCGGCTCGTCGGGGCGGCCGGCACGGCGGCTCCAGGGCCCAGCATGCGCGGGGCGCCCCGCGGCCACCATGTACGTGGGCTATGTGCTGGACAAGGATTCCCCCGTGTACCCCGGCCCCGCCCGGCCCGCGGGTCTCGGCCTGGGCCCGCAAGCCTACGGCCCCCCGCCCCCACCCCCTGGGCCCCCGCAGTACCCCGACTTCGCCGGCTACTCCCACGTGGAGCCGGCCCCCGCGCCCCCTGCGGCCTGGAGCGCGCCTTTCTCCGCGCCCAAGGACGACTGGGCCGCAGCCTACGGCCCGGGCCCCGCGGCCCCCGCCGCCAGCCCAGCCCCGCTGGCATTCGGGCCCCCCCCAGACTTTAGCCCGGTGCCCGCGCCCCCTGGGCCTGGCCCGGGCCTCCTGGCGCAGCCCCTCGGCGGCCCGGGCGCCCCGTCCTCGCCCGGAGCGCAAAGGCGGACGCCCTACGAGTGGATGCGGCGCAGCGTGGCGGCCGGAGGCGGCGGTGGCAGCGGTAAGGACCCCTCTCTCGCCCTGCGCCTCCGGACGGCTCCCCCGGGCACCGGCAGGTGCTAGCGCGAGGCCCCAGCCGCCCCCTGTCTGACCTCTGCCCTGGCCCTGCCTGGGTTCCGGGAGCGTGGCCTCCCTGGCCGCTGTCGCTCTGGGGGGCTGTTCTCTCAGCTTCCCGCTCCTGAATCCCAGCCCGCCGCAGCCTTAGTAACCACAACCCGTCTGTCCGTATAGACAGGGCAACTGACCCGGAGAAGTGAAGAAACGCACCTTGTTGTGCGGCAAGGCCCGAACTAGAACGCAGATCGCTGACTTTTATCCCAGGACTCTTGTAGCAACACTGGCCTGGTCGCCATCCGTTTCTTCCAGCCCTATCCCAGCCCCAAGCAGAGGCTGCAAACCCACCCCACCAGGGACAACGCGTGATCGTGTGAACATGGGCAGGTCACTTTCCTTTCCAGGTCTCAGTCTCCCCATCCGGACAGTGAAGAGGTTGGCGGGTCACATCCCGTGGACTGAAAAAGAGTCCTCTTTGGTTAGATGAGTGGGGGGGGGGGGGGTTCCCTACCTTACGGTCCTAGGGCCCTTCCTGAACTCTTGACCCTGGGGGAGGGGAGAGCAGGAACAGTTGGGAAGGTGGCTGCTGTTTGGCTCCGGAGCCTGCGAACCTCCTGCCCCCAGGCAGGCCTCTCTGATCCACCCTCTTCAAAGGCAGGGGAGGGGGCAGGACAAAAGCCCAGCTTTAATGAGGGGCGGCCTGACCTCCTTTATAGGCCCCCCTTTGTCATGTAACAGGCTGCGCCCTGGCTCGCTAGTGACTCCTGTTGGCCGGAAAGTGAACAGGATACCCCGTGGTTCCGACTGTGTCGGGCCTGTCCTGACAAAGGCCACCTGGCCTTGGGGGCGGGAAGGTGGCCTGCCCACCCTTTGATGTCCGGCCCCTCCTCCCCTTCCCCCAGCTGGGAGCCAGCCTGAGACTTCCCCCACCTCCTCTCTCTCTTCACCCCCATGTCCCCACACATGCCCGGCTCACCCTGGGGACAGATGCTGGGGAGGGTTGATCAGTAGTTACAGGTCTGGCTGTAACCGGACCACCGTCTTGGGAGTGAGTCCCAGGAACACAGGACCTCCTCTCTGCCTCCAGAGGCCTCAGAGGACTGGGGTTTATGCCCGCGCTCTGCCACTTGTTTCTGTGACCTTAGCTAAATGATAACAGCTAACATTTATGGAACACTTACTAATGGACCAGGCACTGACCTAAGGTCTTGCATGTATTAACTCATTTAATTCTCATAAGACTGGCGTAGGTACTATTATCACCCCCATGTTTAAGATGCAGAAACTATGGCATAGAGGTGAAATACTTGCGCAAGACCACATAACCAGTAAAAGGTGTGGCGGGAACTGGAGCCCTGGGACATTGACCCCCAAGCCTGTGCGCTAACCCTCTACAGCTTCCCTGAAATCAGGCGTCTTTTCCGGGTCTCAGTTTTACCATCTGTGACGTGAGAGGGAAGGGTCTTGTGCCTTTTGTTTGAGTTACAAAAGGACCCCTTTGAAAAATCTGGTGGAAAGAACAAATCTTCTCCCTAGAAAAAAGTGGTGCCTATGTGGCAGACGTTTTCAGGTTTCTAGAGGCCCCCAGAAGCTTCATCCATAAACCCTGCCTGAGATGGTATGAGAGGAGATGTCTGGGGCCTGTGGCTCTGTGTCTGTTCCCTGGAGAAGGAAGTCGGCTTTTCCTGCTCCTCTGTTCCACGTGTTGTTGCTTCCAGCTTGTTGGGGATTTTGGAGATGGAGGGGGAGATTCCCCAGGGGTGGGGAGTGGCAGAGAGGCCATCACTGTGTGAGGGGGAGAGTGTGGTCCAGGGGGGTCAGAGGACTGGTGGGAGTGCTGGAGGAGCTTCCAGGCTGTGTGATGTCGGGCAAATGCCTCTCCTCTCTGGGCACAGGAGCTGCGAGCCCAGCTCAGCCTCTAGTCTAAAGAATCATTCGGAAACTATTGTCCTCAGGCAGATAGGGGGACTAGGAGTAACTGCCCAAAGGCAAAAAACCTTTCCCCCTTTACTCCCAGAAAGTAAAAGGAAGGGCCAAGGTGGGTCTGCAGGCTCTGGAGGAGAGTGACTGCCCCAGGAGGCAGGTTAGACCATTCTGCCAGGATGCAGGAGCCTTGGCCTTCTTGGAGCCAGAAGCTGCTGCCTGTCTGCCTTGGGGACCTCTGACTCTGACCAGTGCTTCTGGGATGGTACAGACCCTCCCTGAGAGGCCAAGCCCCTCCCCGCTTTAGCCCCAGTTTCTCCTTCTGGGCAATGAAGATCCAGGGTCTGCAGGGGTGTTTTCGTGTAATGCTGTTGCCTGGGATGGCAGAGGGAAGGTCGGTGCATGCCATCCATGCCCCAGAAATGTCACTGGCCACCAGGTCTTATGGTACCCTTCTTGGCCAGCCCCTTCGTCCTCCCTCTGAGCCTCTAGCATTCTAGAACATCTGAACTGGACAGTTAGAGACCAGACATATGAGTAGGGAACTGAAGCCCAGAGCCTGTAAGAAATGTTCTAGTTTCACACAAGTGGAGGCTGGGCTGGGATGGATGCTGGATGAGTCAGTTAAAAATTTTGCCATGGTTTCCCACCATATTTAGGGCAAAATCTACATTCCTTCCTGAGGTTTGCAAGAGCATAGAGCATCAGCCCCTGGCCCTTGCCTACCTCCCTGACCTCACCCCAGACTACTCCCCTTGGCCACCAAGCTCTAGCCACTCCAGCCTTCGTTTAGTTTCTCAGACGTGTCATGTCCTACTGCAGGTCTGTGTGTATGCTGTTCTCTCTTCCCAGAAACCTCTTTCCCCTGACTCTTTGCAAGCCTAACTTCTTCTCACCCTTCAGGTCTCAGCTTAAGGGTCACCTCCTGAGAGAAGTCCTCCATGATTTCCCAAGGAAGGCTCCTCTTATACCCACTGATAATCGTTGCCGTGTTTCTTTCAAAACCCTAACCTTGGTTTCAATTTACTCACTTATTTGTGTGTTTGTATGTTGTCTATTCCACCGCCCACCCACCAAAGCAAACTTACACCCGTGAGGTCCAGAGTCATGTCTATTTGACCCGCCACTAAATTCCAGGCACCCAGCCCAGTGCATGGCGTTTAGTAGGTACTCAGTACCTTTGAGGAATGAATGAACAGGGCAAGCGTGAGGAGTAGTAAGACCCCTCTGGGAGAAGAGGGGAGAGACGAGATCTCACCTTTGACATAGGTTCCTGAGGTCCCAATCCTGGAGTTGGAACCCACGACTGTCCAGTAGAGCAGTTCATGCCGATGGTGGAAGCCTGGTTGCCCCTGTCTCCCCACTGGGAGTGTCCTCCATCCTCCCCTGGGGGACGGTGTAGCTGAGGCTGGGACGAAGACACCAGCCTTTTCCTAAGGAGGGGGCAGTGAAAATGGGGAAGATGAGAGAGAGGCTGTTATGTTGTCCATAAACAAAATATTAACCAGTTCTGAGTGATTACCGTTGCTGGCCTGATGCCATGATAGGAACTGACTACGAGGGGTTCTATTTTTTTGTCTTCCCACTTTGCCTCTATAAATATCGGCATTTTCATTGGAAGAGTTATAAATGATCCTTCTGTGGAAGGCTCAGCCTCCAATTCCTCGTGAATAAACAGTCCTTCAGAGGGTAATGGCCCACACGAGTAGAGAGATGTTCACTCAGATGCTGAGGCTCCTGCAGCAGGATTTAGATCTTGGTCCAACCACTTCAGCTTTCAGATGGAGAAACTGAGGCCCATGGAGGGGATGAACCCTCCTCTCCCCACCACATTTCAGACTCTGTCCCTTGGCCCAGTGCCACAGCCGCCAACCTGGCCCCTCAACTCCAGCCTCTCTCTGATGCCCCAGCTGTCATCTAAACCATTACCAAATGTACCTTCTCAAGGCATATCCCCTGCTCAAGAGCCTTCCATGGCTCCCCACTGCCATGGAATTGCTGTTTCATTTCATGCCGTTTCGTTGCTATAAAATCCGGCCCTGTTTCTGTGGCCTTCAGAGAAGCCCTCCTGAAAACTGGCCTCAACCCACTTTTGTAGCCACTCTCCCACTAGTTTGCCTGGATACAGAGATGCTGACCGGGGACAGTGAAGAGCAGGGTTTGACAGCCTCAGGCCTGGGGTTGAATTTCTGTTAGAAGCTGCATTAGCATCAGGCAAGTTTACCTCAGCGTCTTCCACTGAGCGTTAGGATAGTAATAGGATTGTCCTTTGAATCAGGAACGCCTATAAAACACAGCCCTGAGCCTAGCACAGAGTAGGTGCACACAGTAGGTGCTCAGTGCACGGGTGCCTGTGACCATCTCTGCCAGTCCTTAGCAGGTGCGTGGAAGCACACACCCACACTCCCTGCCTCTCCAGTCTGGGCCCCTCAGCCTGAACTACCCGCCCTTCCTTCTCATATATCTTCACCAGTTCAGATGCTGCTCCTTTCCAAGGCCACCTCCTCTAGGAAGCCCTCTTCGGTTCCCTTCCCTCCGAGCACTGTATCAGGCCCTTGTTTTAACAACATTTACCATTGACTGTCTTATTTATCCTTGCCATCTACCATGTTATCCCCTCAAAGACCAGTCCTAATCAGTCCCATTCTTCTCAGGCCTGGCTCATAGTAGGAGCTCACAATAAAGCTGCTAACTGTGGCATTGGCTAAGTCCTTACCCTGTGCCAGGCACTGTGCCAAGAGCTTTGCATGGGTGAGCTCACCTCAGCCTCAGAACTACTCTAAGAGGTGTGAGGATCTATTATTAGCCTCATTTCACAGATAAAATTCATGAGGCTCCGAGAGGGTCAGGTGGCTTGCCCAAGCTCACACAGCTGGGATGCAGCAGCACAGGGTTCAAGTACAAACTCTGCAGCCTAAGAGCATTTATCAAATAAAACAACACCCTGGGCATGGGAGACCCCCTCCCCCTGTGCATCCCAGTCCAGGTGAGGAAAAAGGAGGCCAGTCCGGGAAGAGCTCTAAG